TGTGAATCCCCGTTAGAAGAAAGGATTCTTCTATTGTTTATCATGTTTTAGGTTAGCCAAGGGCCAAAGTGGGTGGCACTGGTGTAAAATCCCGATCCAAGTTTGGGCCATATGCATGTAGTGTATATGATCTTCCCAAAGTAGTAGGTCGTGAAACATAAATGTTATGATCGGAAGAAAGATCAGATTAGATACGCGGCTGTTAGAGGTTGAATGGTTTCGAACTATAATGTAACATACCTGAAATATTGCCCTTGGACCGCGCAATTTCTCGTAAAACAACTCTGTTGTTGATTCTCTTGCTTTAATGCAGCATTTGTGATTAAATTGGGAACGCGCTGTCTACATCGGGTTAAGCCTTGGCTAGCAAAACTCAAAGAGAAGTAGCCAATATGTTAAGTGCATCTCAAGCTATGATTTGCAGAGCATGTTTCTGCGGTCACTAAATGTTTAAGGGCCGACCATATGTCTACAACAGGTGAATTAATCAGAAACCAGGATTTAAAGAATCCACCCCCAAACAGTTCACATCTCTGTTCATCGGAGTTCAAGTACTGACCAGAATATTAGAAATTGTTCTTTCACAGACCGAAACGTTGTATTCAGTCGGCATTGGTGCGTAGAAGCTGCGGAAATCGCCGATGGTTTAACCTACTGTTGTCAGATGATTCAAGATACAATAGAAGAACATGATAGTATTAAGAAAACATCATAGTGGCACCAATGGTAACCAGGTCCACGTATTGTCTAAAAAGACCACAACGCACTTGCCAACCTTCTACGCATCCTAGCTGATAATCTCCAGCAGCCAAACATCAAGATGCAATGACCACAAGCGAGTCCTGACCCTTCTCCAACATGATACGTCATTGACATGACGTTTACGCTGACGTCAAAGCCCTTCCGATACGTCAGTAGATCTGGGCGCATCAGTAGAAGTGGACAGTGTGGTATTGATGCCATGCCTTATACAGGAATATATGACTTGACATAACCTTTGTTTATCAAGCCCATTCATTTCAAACTCATGTAGTCTTTCTTTGCACCATTTGAATACACCAACATTCGGTTCAATGACATGTTACTCCTAAACCCCCTAGAAACTAGTGGTATCCCTCTGTCAGCCTTCTCTCCTTCATGTGTATAATTTTACTGAGCAGCTATTTTCAAAACAAACATAGAATAGCGAAAGGGCACTTAGTAGGTTTGCATTAGAATGGAGATAAAGTATGACCAGAAATTATTGAGAATTTTAGGAATATGTTTAATTGGATTTCTAGTATAAATAACCTTGACCAGCTATCAAGTGCTTGGTTTCATTCAAGGGAGACAACTCCGTTAATCATTTTTCATTAGTTTATGAAGAGTTATCCCCCTTCGTGTACTTGCTAGCAGACGATATTTTCAGTGATCCCCAGTATGGATGATTTAGAGAAGAGCAAGTTGATTTTAGAGTATTATAACAAGGACATCAGATCAGCTAAAGTGGTTTCAAGTAGAACAGGCATCTCTTTGTCCACTGTTTATCGTGTTTTGAAAAATATTGCAAATGGATATGGCATTGAGCACGAGGGAGGTGCAGGTAGGCCCAAAAAAATTGACAGGAGGCGGCTTGGTATTCTTGTTTCTAAAAACAAACGAAGGAGTTTAGAAAACTTAAGGCTGGATATGATTGATAGAGGAACTGTGGCTGTCTGTAAGGAGACAATAAGAACTGAGCTGCATGCAATGGGTTGGCAGAAAAGTCGAGGAATTCCATCACCCATCATGAAACCTGAACAAAAGGAGCGAAAAACCTTTGTATCAGCGCCCAAAGTACAGTCCGAAATTAAACGTGTGGGGTGGCATATCTGTGTTAGGGGCAACGCCCCTCTGTGTATTTGAAGGGAATATGAAAAGTGAGCGGTACACAGATATTTTCGAGGGACATTTACTTCCATCTGCTCACGTGTTCTATGGAAATGTTTGGATTTTCCAGCAGGACAACGACCCAAAACATCGTTCAAAGCATTCACAGGGGCCTGGTCTCGGACCCAAAATATGACATTATTAGATTGGCCAAGCTATAGCCCTGATCTAAATCCAATAGAAAATGTTTGGGGACTTATGAAGGAAAGTGTCAATTAGAAAAATCTGACAAATATTGCTGAAATGAAAGAAGAGGTGGTCCGATATTGGGACAGCATGGACCACGACTCTAACTTCTTTGATCAGTAGTATGCCCCGCCGCATTGAAGCCTGCATTGCTGCTCATTGTGACTTGACAAAATACTAACGGCTCACCTGTCTTTGAATCTGGAGTTATGTTCTGCTAATATTCACATTTAATACGTGAGTAATGAGTGAACAAAATATAAAAAATTACAATCTTTAAATTCTCAATAATTTCTGGTTGTACTGTATAAAAAAATACTAGCAGTGTTGGCAGTGTATTCACTCGCATGATCTGGTGAAGGAAAGAGACGAGTAATTGCAAATACAAAGGACAAGATAGCAATGATATAACCTCGCATTACATTCGGCCAGGTGAGCTAAATAGACGCCATAGAGGCCTAATGCATCAAAGTGCATCTTGGCCTTGTCTTAGCTGCCGTGTGATACGCCGTTTTCAGATATTTGACTGATATGGTCGTGTTCCTTACATCGGGACCACTGGAACCCAATAGGTACAGGAAGGAGTTACTGATCAGCACAGTTTTACTTCGTATCTTGGGAGGTGCTGTTGACTTCAACCTAACATGACTGACTGACTGACTGACTGAGTTTGGTTTTACGCCGCTTTTAGCAATATTCCAGCAACATCACGGCGGGGGACACCAGAAATGGGCTTCACACATTTCACCCATGTGGGGATTCGAACCCGGGTCTTCGGCGTGACGAGCCAACGCTTTAACCACTAGGCTACCCCACCGCCCTCAACCTAACATGACACCGTGGCAGTACGACATAATTACGTCAGATACGGAGTGCAGGAATGAACGCGGAAACTAGGAGTTAAGGGGGAAATATTTTATTTCTAACAAATCACTACAGACAGCATTGCTTATTTTCATGATATCGGTATACATATATTGATATCTTTAAAGTCAGGTAAGGACAAACCTCGTGGATGAACAACTTCTTTGTTCAGGTGATACGATTTTTCGATACAGATTCTTGTATCGTTTTCAAGCAGGTATGAATCATGTGGAGAACAGGGTTATATAGTATATAATTAACAAAAACAACAAGATGCAGGGGTGTTTTATCCCTTCCGCATACGATGAACTCATCTATCAACCCTAACTGTTTGTGAAACATGTTATACTTCTCCCCTGCTTACTGTACACGATGGAAACTAACAGTAAACACTTCTAAAACTGAAGTTTTGATTTTTTCCAAAAGAAGCAGTAAAATTAGCACTTTATTTCTTCTGCAGAATACTGTTTTAGAGGTAGAAAAACATTATGTTTATCTTGGTTTACTATTCACAAGCACTGGTCGCTTTTGTAAAACCACTAAACGGCTCGCTGACCAATCGTCTCGTGCAATGTTTGCTATATTTAGAACATTTCGCTTGTTAGATATACCGGTCGACTGCCAACTTAAACTTTTTGATCAACTCGTTAAGCCTATTTTATTGTATGGTGCTGAGGTGTGGGGCTACGAAAACACTATTCAGTTAGAACGTATTCATTTGAAATTTTGTAAATACATATTGAAGGTAAAAACAACAACCCCAGACTTTATGGTTTACGGTGAACTTGGAAGATAATATCCACTTGAGAAATTGAGAATGTTATCATATTGGGGTAAATTATTATTATCTCATGGTAAACTATCAAAAGTAATGTATAAATTAATGTTCAATTTGCAAAATTCTCAGACAAATGCTAAATATCCGCTAATAGCGGAAGTAAAATCTGTCTTAGAGAATACAGGCTTAAGTTACATTTGGCAATTACAAGAATTTCAGAGTACCCATTGGCTGGTAAATAATGTTAAAACTGTACTCGTTGATCATTTTCTAAAAACTTGGAGAGAACGTAAATCACAATCATCTAAAGGCCTATATTACAATATGTTTAAGGATAATCTTTATATTGAAACGTATTTGTTGCAACTTCCTCTAGATTTACGTATTTATACTACAAAACTTAGAACTTGTAACCACAGACTCCCTATTGAAACTAGTAGATGGCATAAAATTTATAAAGAAAGTAGATTGTGTACATCATGCAAGAGTAAAATTGGGGATGAATTTCACTTTGTTAGAATGCAATGAGTTAAACGAATTACGAAACAAATATCTTCCTGCATATTATTGTAAACATCCCACTGTGGATAAATATATTTCACTTATGTCTATCACATACAAACCAATACTTGTTAAACTTGCTCTTTTTTGTAAAATGGGGCTTGCGTACGCTCCGTTAATGTAATATGTATGTGTTTCATTGTTGTTTACGTATATTTGTTTTACTCTATGTCATGTATATGACTGATGAGAATAAACTTTGACTTGACTTGACTTGACTTGACCCCTGTACATCCCACTGGCTTCTAGATGTAATCCCTTATCATCACATTGCTTATTGTACTTCTCAATTATCTTCTTGTTGTTTTTGTTAATTATATACTGTATATATAAGTGTTTTCTACCTTTATCTAAACGCCGCACCACCTAAAAATAGAAGCTGTTCATCCATAAAGTTTGTCCTTATTTGACTCCTCAAATTCTAACAATGCCACTCATTAAAGTGTTGCCGACATCGTTACAGTTCTCTGGATATCAAAATGATGATATTGTATCGGTAAATATTTGGTGTTATCATTAAATGAATTCCTAATTGTATAATCTAGTGAGTAAATGGTACCATTTATCATTACAATACTAATGCCTCATAATTATATCTGTAATTCAGCTGCAACATCAAATAAGTTGATGACACTGATACTATCACTGTTTAGAATGTGACTCCAAGATGTGGCCCACCCTGGATAAAATAGGTCAGGCCACACACATGTTTACACACAGCCCAGCCGTCGACCTCCGTTGTGTGGAACACTGAACATGGCCGGTGTCACCCTCCGCCTCTACACAGTCGATGCCTTCACTGACGTCCCCTTCAAAGGCAACCCGGCTGCCGTCTGTCCCTTGCCGTCCCAAGTTGTAAGTTTCTCCTCATTATTGCGATACAAATAGCAGCATAATTTCAACGAGAACACATCCGCCAACCTTTTCATGTGATAACAGTGATGTTGTACAGGTATTATACTGGCTACGTGCAGACAGAAGGATATGTACATTTGTTTGTAAAGAGTCTGTTCATTATTGCTAAAACAATTCTAGTCCCCGATTGTGAGGTTAATCTCAATCACTTGCAGAAACCAGAGAGTAACCGAGCGGATGAGTATTAAAGGGAAGTACCTCTAAAAACGTTGTCACACAACCCTCCGTGTGACTTAAGCACGACCTCAATTCTGCTATTCACACATTGTTCACTTGTTGCTTAATGGTCCAAGCCCTCCCTTAAAGTTCCAAATCAACCAATAACACATTGCTTATATTTTCGTCCACTGTAATAAACTAAATTGCTATGTTGTGCAAATGCCACAGTATATTAAATAAAAGTCAACACGACAATGTGTGGTGACTATCACTGCAATAATACACCCATCAACACGGTGCAAGTAACAATACATTAAGTAACTGTCACTACAATACATCAAGTAACTATCACAGCAACACTGAAAGTAACTGTCGCTGTCATGCAACAATGCGTTAAGGAACTATCACAGCAACACTATACATCGCCGCAACAATGCGTAACTATCGCTGACATAGTTTGTTCTTTGCCCTATTGTGATATTATGTTTCAGTTTCTGTTTGTCTCCTCATGCCGGTGCTTTCATACATTTCACTGAAATATGTCTACAGAATCTAGACGATGATATCCTGCAGAAGATCGCCATGGAGATGAACCTGTCTGAAACTGCATTTATCAAACTTTTAGACAAGTCGGATAGTTTCAAGGAAAGTAAGTTTTTATATCGACACGTATCCAAAAGTTGACAGTGTTGGATTATAAGTTTGTCATAAGAGGGCTAACAGAACGCAACACGCAACAGATAGAAGTCTCAGATAGACATATAAAGTGAAATAACCACGTAATTTACATTGACCTGTAAGGTGAAATTAAACCACGCATTGTGCCCATTGACAGTGTTCTCTGGGATGGGATACGACATTATGAAAAAGTTGGCATAACCATCCCATAAACAAGTATATAGTGTACACACAGAAACCTACACAATTGTAACTTAGATCAACATTGACTATTCTTTAAAACCAACACTTTTAACTGAAAATAAACTTGAAAATAAAGTATGAGTTGACGTTAGGGATATTTGATTTCTTTGACGATGAATTTGTTGAGACTTCCATTAAACTAGATTGTATTCTATACGAATATATTCGCTTACCACGGTGTGCTTATAACGTATTCTTGACAAGATCTCATTAAGTAGATGAGTAGAGCTCGAGTGAGATTGTCAATATTTCAGTTCTTTCACGACGGCCAAAGAATAATTGAAGCCAAGCTTGGCAAATCAGTGATTGAAACACAAGGAACGACAAAGGGGCATTCTGATGTTGGAGGTGGACTAGCATGACAAAAATAACTTTTTCATTAGGTTTTATCTCTTCGCATGTCCCAGGACATACTAACACGGTAATTGTCGCATTGTCGATTCAACAAAATCGATAATTGAGTGCATTATTATGTGTCTTGACAGGTAATACGTTTGGTTTGAGGTGGTTCACTACAAAAGAAGAATTCAAATTGTGCGGCCATGCTACATTGGCATCAGCAGCTGTTTTGTTTGGAAAATTGGGTGAGTAGAAAACATGAATTCCGAAACATCCCCTGTATGAGTAACTGAGTGAGTTTTACGCAGCATTCAGCAATGTTCCAGCTTTATATGGCGGCGGTCTGTAAATAATCGAGTCTTGACCAGACAATCCAGTGATCAACAGCATGATCATCGATCTACGCAGATGGGATACGATGACATGTGTCAACCAAGTCAGCGAGCCTGACCACCCGATTCCGACAAGCATGATTTGCTGAAGACCAATTCTAACCCGGATCTTCACAGGGATATGAACTCATTAAGCAATATTTCCAAGTGTATACTTCAGCTTAGTCTGTCTTACAGCGCCTGGAACAAACATATCGAATACATCCCATGCAGGTCTATAATATTTAGTAAGTTTGTAAATGGAGAAAGTAGTCTCTCCGTCCCTCCTTAGGTTCAGAGACTAGATGTCTAGTTTATATAACTGTTCGTCAACAGGACATACTCAAAATCAAAATCAACCATACTTTATTTCTTCAGACAACAAACAGGATCGTATCGTGTTTAAGACTCTGAGTGGGGATTTGATTGTTAAACGTGAAGGGGAGTGGATCCACATGGACTTCCCCGTTGGCGCTGCTCTGAAAGAGGTGGGTTGGATACACTGTGGCAGAGACCATATATGATCTCTGATTGTGGTATCTTCGTATTATGATCTGCAAGGTCCAACATCGAGGTCACATGTGGATGAGTTAGAGTTAACGCCACTTTCAGTAGCATTTGTTGTATCAAGGCGTGAGAGAATTCAGGAGGCGCATCCAGAGAAATTCCCTGAGGAGCATTCCTCCCTCACATTTGGACTTCATGATTTATGTGCACCCCCACTGCTCCAAAATCCGGGATCCGCCCCTGGAATGCCTGCGAGGGAAACATGAAGGGGCGCAAGCTGTTGATGTCAACATCATACCGGAAGTGTGAAAAACACCACCACGGTTCTCATATTGGCAAGCAAATGATCGTAATGAAGATGAATCCAAGATTCGCACCCACGATAGGCGAATTAATTTAGTATGTAATTGAACAGACTGCTGAGAAAACCTTGACAGCCAATCCACTAACATATTTTTGTATATCTGATGAACGCTAAATCTCCAGTGTATTTAATATTAAGTCTCGCAGTTTAGAAAAACTTTCAGCATAGTTAACGTCTAGCTATATATAGTATGCTCTGACTAGAACGGCCAGTGTTGACATGAGGTTGAGATTGCTATAAATCACTCAAGAACATCAGCTTCATTTTGGATACTTCGAACAGGTTTTATAGGGCAAACATTTGGTGTCCGCGCAAAGCTATTGTATCATGTCAGAATGTCTTTAATGAAACAGGGGCGGTGGGGTAGCCCAGTGGTTAAAGCGTTCGCTCGTCACGCTGAAGACCCGGGTTCGATTCCTCACATGGGTACAATGTGTGAAGCCAGATTCTGGTGTCCCCCGCCGTGATATTGCTGGAATATTGCTAAAAGCGGCGTAAAACCAAAGTCACTCACTCACTTTACTGAAACAGGCCAAAGTGGGTGCAGTTTAGCGAAATAGACTAAAGTTGATGGTGTAGATGCTTTAATGGTTATAAATGGGATCAAATTCTGCCGAGATACTTAGTAACATTTTATTTCTGTTCTGAGGTATGAAGATTTGTCTGGGTATTTTCAGGATCAAAGTCAACATGAGCAGTTAGTAGCGGTATGTATTCTTCTTAATAAATCTTTTTCCAGACATTGTTCATTTATATTGATTGTGGGATGTCAAGCATCAGCAGGACGATCAGTGTCCATATCGTCAATAATGCGATGCAGAGTCCAACACCAGCATGCAACATACATTAAACGGAGTTTACACAAACTACAGTAGATTAATGTTGACACAATCATGAAACATTATTGTTTGATAGGTCACACAGCTTTCGCATGCACTAACAACATTAACTAGACCATATGTGCTCACTTGTTCACTTCAGTCGTTAGGGGATGTATCGGGCGTGAGCGACATCGTCTACTGCGATTCCCTGCGTTATTTACTTCGTACGACTTCACGACGGATGGTCCAGGTAATGTATTCCTTCTTAGCAAACATTATACCTCTTGTCGACCATGTCCATGCCCGCCTATGTTGTAACCAACAGAAAGAAAACTTTATGGAATGTCATTTTCTTACTGTTATAATTTTCTGATAACTTTGAAGAAGAAGAATATTCTTGGTTTTTTATAATATCTATTTATATGAAACGGATGCTCAACCCTCGTGAACTGACTAAAAGAAGATTTAGAAAATATAGAGCGGTGAATGGTTTTTTTCTATCATCACAGAGGAGAATTTGAGTCCTGGACGCCCGATATATCGGCCATGCAGAGATCCACCGATAGACTGGTTCTTGTCATTGTCACCACCAGAGGGCCTCCCGGTGATGGTTACCAGAGTGACGGTGGCGCCTCCTACGATTTTGTTTCCCGTTGTTTTGTACCTTGGGACGATATACCCGAAGACCCTGTCACCGGATCTGCGCAGACAGTTCTTGCGCATTACTGGGCACAACAGTTAGGGAAAGAATGATTTCTTTAGTAAGTTTGTTTAAGTGAAATGTAAGATTTAATTTATGTTATAGGATACCTTGACTAGTAAGAGAAGATCTAGGGAGACCATCTTGCATGTGACGTGTGTTTTTACTTCATGTATATTGCGTTACGAGTTCATTTCCAGGGTGAAACGCTTTGGGTTTAAGAGGAAACCGGATCCACTGTGACGTCAGTAAATAAGCACTAAATACAAATAATACTTCAAAAAGCATACTGAAATACACAGGACTATAAACATAATCAATCTTCCATAATACTTTGTGACATAAGCATGAACATGTTATAAAATAGTGGTATGAATATCAAGACACGCCGTTTTCCTCATATATTTGGCAAATTACCCGAATCATCCATATATTGGTATGAAACATAATGTCCCCAGCTCTATACAGATGCTCGTTGCCTTCACTGACATGATAGGTGTGTACGACATAGGGCACTCTCCCTCCAGCTGACGCGTAGTGATATAACAATATCTGCTGAAAGGGTTGTTAAGCCCAGCGCCTTCACTCAATGACACCTTTGGTCCTTCGACCAGATACAGCTGAAAGATTTAAGTGACACATTTGGTCCTTCGACCATCTACTACGGATAGATTACATGACACATTTTGTCCTCTGGCCTGGAAGATTTAAGTAACCGTGGTAATGCCTCTGCAGCTAGTAGTGTATTACATAGGTAATCTGTAAACTGTCCCTTACGAGGGGGATAATATAAGTAGGTGAATGCACTGTTACCAGCATTGCAGTCCTGTTCGTAGACTAATGCTTAGTCTCAGAATATATGTAATTTTGATAGTAACAAACAAGCCCATTTATATTGAAAAGGAGCCCCAGGGAGACCAGAGATTCAGAACCTGAACCTGAGGAAATCTAGACTTGCTGTATTTAGGGCTTTAGCATTGCAGAGAGGGCTTGGCAGTAGGGAAAATAATGTGGTTGAGGGACTGTGAGACAGGCTATCCTGGTCGCCGCCTTGTAACAATTAAACCAAATTTCACAACAATCTTCTTTCTTGTAGCGAGGCAGTGTTCTGCACGCGGTGGGGAGATCGTGGTCAAGCTGAGAGGTGACCGGGTGGAACTTCTGGGTAAAGCTGTCTTTGTCATGGACGGAGAGATGAAACTGTAGCCATAGTAACCAGAAACAGCCGGACATAACTACAATTGTTCAGTGATATAATGAATACATATCCTGCTTTGTTGGGCTCAATCCTTGCCATTACAAAACATGCGCCCATTCTCAATAATACCTCATCTGGTTCATATTTCATGTTTGTGTTGCTGTGAATACAATCGTATTTTTCACGATCATCTAAAGAGTTAGTTTTTTTTAAAAGAATCTATGCTGTAAAAGTATTTCGAATTCTTTAATTCCATTTCTAACATGACCATGGAGTATGCTTAATTCTGGATGGTTATCAATAAAATGAAAATTATTTGTATATCTCATTACAACTGATATATTACTTGTAACTCTAATTACAGTAAATAATGCAATGATTGTTCAGAAAGCGGAATTGTTTGGCACACAACTTAGCATTTCGGATGTTTCCTATTCAGGTGGTTGGCTGTCACGTTTCAAATCTCGTTTCTCTCTCTCCAAGAAAAACTATCAGGGCGAAGCAGCTAGTTCAAATAAACCGGCAATTTCAAAAGGGAGAGAAGAGTTGAAATCAGTGCTCAAGAATTACGAGCCTGATGATATCAAACAGTAACACAAGCTTTTGAACAGGCAAACAGTTTGCTGACTTTCTACGAATGTAATGGCGACGAAGGTTCTGTGAATTTAGTGATGGACTTAGTGAAGAAACTGGAAGAAATCAAACCAAGAAAACAAACACCTATCACAGAAATAATGTGCTACATGGGAAATGTAAACATGTGAAGTAAGATGTATAATGTGTGTCAACGTGTTGAAAGAATGTTTATTGGTGGTGTATTTATAGGTTGTGATTCATTGTTTTTACTATTGACTATTGATTTATTGATATACATACATGCACGTGAATACGTTTTCGATATACATCGTCAGTACGTTTTGCTTGTTTGATCCAGTTAACCGGGCGCCTCGCTATCCGGACGATTTCCAACCGCCTCCGTGGTGTAGTGGTTAGAGCGTCCGCCCGGAGAGCGGAAGGTCGCGGGTTCGATCCCCGGCCGCGTCATACCAAAAGACGTTAAAATATGGTTACTTGTTGGTCCCTGCCTGGCACTCGGCATTAATGGGTACAACAAGGACTGGTCGGCTCGGAGTCAGTATAATGTGTCTGAGTGTAATCTTCTTAATCTTTCATATAGTCCCTTTTCCTACATTCACATTAATATTCTAAGTGTTGAAGTGTGGTTAACCCTGGTGGTATTGTGATGTTTTCAAAGAACATAATACAATACCTGCTCGAAAGTTACCCCTGTTCCGTCAAGGAAGAGGACCTTTCCATGCATATAGCATATAGCATCAGTTACAAAAATAACATATGCATAGTGTCCAGTGCAGTAGCCTGTTAAATTAAGATGCCATATGCTGCTGTACCAGGGTTATTTAGGTCAAGACTTTGCATGTATTTACTTTCATCATGCTCGTACCCGTGAAGACCCGGGTTAGAATATTGATCCTCAGTAAACCATGCTTGTCGTAGAGGCGACTAACGGGATCGTGTGGTCAGGCTCGCTGACTTGGTTGACACATGTCATCGGTTCCCAATTGTGTCGATCGATGCTCATGCTGTTGATCACTGGATTGTCTGGTCCAGACTCGATTATTTACAGACAGCCGCCATATATCTGGATTATTGCGAGTGTGGCGTAAAACTACACTCACTCACTCACTCACACTCATCCTGCTCGTTTCCATACTATAGGAACATTGTGTATGTGCTGCCCTGCCCTGTTCGATCTCACGATCTGTCTCCAACTGACCATGTCTGGAACGAAATAGATTGACGTCTACTCCATGTACCTGAATTGTAGAAGCACCTGCGGAACACGTTTTTCGGATCTGGAATGCGATTCTGAAAGTCATTATGCATAAAAGTGTTGCAGAAACTTTTATGATCTTTAACATGTGTCTGACAATGTGACCCTCACTGGCCCTGAGGATGTCCAGTGTTGGCCAGTGGTGTGCCAGGTCCATACATATTCAGCATCTGATATAAATACGTGTTTTCCTGTAGAACCATACTTGGGTCGTTTCATTCGTAGACTACATGCACATGCACACTGAAAGTCAGGTTAAACATTTGGTAAATGGGATAGGAACAATTCATCAGTGCATTATAAATCTTCTCTAAAATATTTTACAGGTAAGTAGATCCGCCCTGTAAGCCACATTTTCAGTGTGTGCGAGGGATGTTGTGTTTAAACCAAAGAAATGAAAATGAATATGGCATAAGGTTCGAACATTGGAAGAAAGGAAGGGAGTGAGCCATGTTTGGCATATTACATACAAGGACTAGAGAGCATGAACATAATCTCACTTGGCGTTAGGCAGGGTGAGCTACATTGACGCATTAGATTCAAAATTTATGTTTCCTAGCAAGGTCTCACCTGAAATATTCCGCGCCTTTTGACATAGTTCACTGATATCACTTATTTGTTTCATGATGTGGGTATATTTTAATACTTTTTTATACATTAATGTGTTATTGATATAATAAAATCTTTCATGATCATATCATTAAATTAATTCAAAATATCATGAAATGATTTATTATTCGTTATTTAAAGGACAATATAATGACTTGTGGTCATGTCTTTAATTCAGTTTAAATTTTAATGACTTGATGATTCAGAAACATTAATTACTGATATCAGTAACTCGGCACTACTTAGAAAACGACCAGGAGTGCTTAGAGAGTATATCTACTCAACAGACCTACCCGTATGGTTGTCATGAAGACATCATATCAATGTATCCCGAAAGGTTTGATATTTAATAGCTTTACCCAGATGGATGTAATATGTTTCTTATGTCACAACATCGTATTCTTTTTCCTTATTACATTACAGTGTACATCAATAACATATATTGGAATTTCCGGTTTTCCACTTTTTAAATTAAATCTAGTGCTTGTCACTGCTTGTAGAAACATTAATCCTATGCTATGTGTTGTTTGAGGCCAGTTGACCCAGTTGATCTGCCATTTTGTAAAACACCCCTCGAAGGGAGACCTCCCGCGAATGAACCGCTAAACTAGGTCAGGTCGTACGCTTCCCAGCCCCCGACCTCCGTTGGGTGCATCTCTGAAGGTCTCTGAACATGGCCGGTGTCACCCTCCACCTCTACACAGTCGATGCCTTCACTGACGTCCCTTTCAAAGGCAACCCGGCGGCCGTCTGTCCCTTGCCGTCCGATACAGTAAGTTTCTCCTTTGTATTTAGGTAGGCTACCAATAGGATCATAAGTCCAATGAGGACACCCTGCCAATGTTTTCATGTGATAATAGTGATGTTGTACAGGTGTTATATTGATCACGTGATGACAAAACCCCAATTCCCTGTTAAAGAATCGGTTCATGTTTGAAAGAACAGGTCCACTCCCTGAGATTAATCTCACCACATGTAGACATTAGAGAGCAATCTCCTACCCAGAGTTCAATGCGGCCAGCCAGCATAGTACCTGTTATGTTAAGTCATCGCTGTGCCGGAGTGTGATTAGAGAATAAACAAGCTGATGAGTATTAAAGGGAGGTAACTCTAAGCGCGAAATGATTTCATATTCTAATAATTTCTCATCTGCGGAATGGCCTTTTTAAGGTCCAAGCCGTCCTTACAGGATCAAAATCAACAATTACACATCGTTTTTGTGTAATGTATCATTTGATTCAAATTAGTTTACATTAACTATCCTTACAACAATAAACAATAAATTAAGTAACCCAACATGTTAGTAACTATCAATACAACAACGATAAATACGTAACTATCAGTTATCCCCTTTGTTTACTTGCCAGCAGACGACATTTTCCCAGAGAAGAGGAAGTTGATTTAGAGTATTATAAACCTTTGGCGGATCAAAGTATCAGCGCCCAGGGGTTCGACCCACCACACCTCCTGGCCAAGCTATAGCCCTAAATCCAATGAAAATGACTTAAGACCACATAGAAGATTTTTATTTGTGTTGTAACTAACCCTACATCAAAGAAATTATGAAGTTTATACTTTACATAATGTGATATTGTGTGTCAGTTTCAGTGTCTCCACATACATGTAACCGATGCTGTTAGTGCTTTCATACATTTCACTGAAATATGTCTACAGAATCTAGACGATGATATCCTGCAGAAGATCGCCATGGAGATGAAGCTGTCTGAAACTGCTTTTATCAAACTTTTAGACAAGTCGGATAGTTTCAAGGAAAGTAAGTTTTTCACTACGAGGACTACTGGCCCATCATAAGGTTTGAAACTAACCGATAGTAACAGGATTGTGTTAACACAAGACTCTGAGGGGAGTGCAAACTTAATATTGTTATTATGAAATTGTCACGTAATTGGTAGTGTTATCCAAACAATAGCGAGTGAGTGAGTTGGGATTTTACGCCGCTTTTAGCAATATTCCAGCAATATCAAGGCGGGGGACACCATAAATGGGCTTCACACATTGTGCCCATGTGGGGAATCGAACCCGGGCCTTCGGCGTGACGAACGAACGCTTTAACCACTAGGCTACCCCACCGCCCCTATCCAGCTCACAATCTGGGAAATATGTAAATGGTGCAAGCAATACAGGCTGCACTATTTGTAGACTACCCGTCGTTTGCAAGGAGTCTGGATGCATATATCAGTAGTTTAATCTTCACTGCGTCTAACTGAGATGATGACAAGAGAGTTAACTATGGTTTGGGTTGTTACAGCTATATCACGACTGCACGAGAGGCCTAGCCAGCCAAACTAGTGGTTAATAGCGCGAGCACCAGTCCAATCCGTCTGGTCACGGTGTCACCGTGACATATTACCACAAGGGTTCGGGATCCTGGGAATTTTTGTCTTTCAAAAATAAATTGTCCTCCTTCAGCCCCATTCCCAGAATTAAATTTCGGGATTAACTTCACTTCCTGAAAATTGCATGATGAAAACATTGTTCTTTTCGTTTGACCTCAAAATGCATAATTTGAAGTACTTGCCGCACAACCGCCCCATCTTAGTAATAGTGTACACCTTTTAATTTATCTACAGATAATACGTTTGGTTTGAGGTGGTTTTCTACAAAAGAGGAATCCAAACTGTGCGGCCATGGTACTTTGGCATCAGCAGCTGTTTTGTTCGGGAAATTGGGTGAGTAGAAAACGCGAACCGTCTCCTTAGTGAACTGATGACTCAGTATTGCCAAATGAACACTGCTCGTTAACATGGTATACTTCATTCAACGCAAGAATCAAGTTTATTTTGTTCCACAGACAACAAACAGGACCGTATCGTGTTTAAGACACTGAGTGGGGATTTGATTGTTAAACGTGAGGGCGAGTGGATTCACATGGATTTCCCCGTTGGCGCTGCTGTGAAAGAGGTGGGTTGGATGCATTGTGGTATCGTCCTATTATGATCTAGAAGGTCAAACATCAAGGGGATACGGTGGTGAGTGAGTGAGGTTGGTTTTAAGCCGTTTTGAACAGTGTTTCTAATGTCACGACGGGACTCTTCAATACTGTGACACCACACTATGTGTCTACTAAATTGTAAGGTGGATGATCAGTCATGATAGGTTGTTTCATGAATCAGTCAGTTCTTCATTTCATTTCGGAAACATTGCAAAAGTATTAACCAATGTAACCGAATGGAGTCTGTGTGCAGCTTTTTAGTGATTCAGAATATAGTATATTTATCATGCCAGATATATATTCTCGGTACTTTATTTAAACATGTTCTAGCGTGAGTGAGTGAGTGGGGGCGGTGGGGTAGCCTAATGGTTAAAGCGTTGGCTTGTCACGTCGAAGACCCGGGTTCGAATCCCCACATGGGTACAATGCGTGAAGCCCATTTCTGGTGTCCCCCGCCGTGATGTTGCTGTAATATTGCTAAAAGCGGCGTAAAACCAAACTCAGTCAGTCAGTCAGTCAGTGAGTGAGTGAATTTGGTTCTGCGCCGATTTTAGCAATATTACAGTAATATCACGGCGGGGGACACCAGAAATGGGCTTCACACATTGTACCCATGAGGGGAATCGAACCCGGGTCTTTGGCGTGACGAGCGAACGCTTTAACCACTAGGCTACCCCACCGCCTGATTACACTCATTATAAATAATGATAACATTATCAAACGATTTAATTCCACTTGGATTTACCAACTACAAATAACCAAACAGGGATACCGTTGGCTACATTTCCGAGACGTTTAGTAACCTATTAATTTCTGCTCTGAGGTTTGAAGACTTTTCTGGGTTGTTTTTACAGGATCAAAGTCAACATGAGCAATTAGTAGCGGTATGTATTCTTCTTAATAAAACCTTTTCCAAACATTGTTTATTTATATTGATTGTGGGATGTCAAGCATCAGTGGGTCAATCTGTGTATAACATACCTTCCATACTAAGCACTAAGATAAGTCTAACACCAGCTGGCACTGAACACAACATAAACTCACGGGCTAAAGAAACGTCACCAAAATGATTTTTTAATCTTTTACCTTACACTAAGTGATTATTCTATCTGTAGTTCACATTTTCATCATTCAGAATGTTGTAAATCCATTAATTTTCCACGTGTAATTTGTAATTTCCAAAATCTGAGTTTGTTGTTTTGTGACATGTTAAAAAAACGAGGTGACGTTTCTTTCGCCCGTGAGTTTATAATCGTTGTAATATTGACACAATCATAAAACATTACTGCTTGATAGATCAGAAATTTAACATGTACTAATTACATCAAGACTAAAAACATAACAACACCATATGTGCTCACTTGTACATTTCAGTCCTTGGGGGATGTATCTGGTGTGAGCGACATCGTTTACTGCGATTCCCAGCGTTATCTACTTGTACGACTTCACGACGGATGGTCCAGGTAAGATGCTCATTGTGAGTTTACATTCCATTTCTGGCCTTGGTCCTATGTCATAACACAAAGATAACTTTCTGGAACGTCATTTACACAAATTCTGATTTACAAATTGAGTATGTGCAAGATATTTACACCCTGCCATACAAAGAGTGAGCGAGTGAATTTAGTTTTACGCCGCACTCAGCAATATTCCAGCTATATAGCGACCCATGCAATGTAGCTGTGACACTTCACCAAAACAAGCAGGGCTCTGAGATCTGGAAAATGGATTTGAGGAACGTGCAGCATTCAGGCATTAGAAAACGGACTTCACGCCAAAAGAAGTACACTGATGGAAAACTTTCTCAACACTGGTCCCCACAAAGTACGAAACAGATGACATATTGAAGGGATAATACTATTGTTTTCTTAATTGCATTGAAGAAATGGACTGTCGATACTTGAGAGCTGACAAAGGGTAGTATTATTAATACACACCAGTGACTGTTTTTCTTTATCATCACAGAGAAGAATTTGAGTCCTGGACGCCCGATATATCGGCCATGCAGAGATCCACCGATAGACTGGTTGTTGTCATTGTCACCACCAGAGGGCCTCCCGGTGACGGTTACCAGAGTGATGGTGGCGCCCCCTACGACTTTGTTTCCCGTTGTTTTGCGCCTTGGGTAAATATGCCCGAAGATCCTGTCACCGGATCTGCGCAGACAGTTCTTGCGCATTACTGGGCAGAACAATTAGGAAAGAATGATTTCTTTAGTAAGTTTGAGTCAGCGAAATTTCCGTTGAATTCTCTAAGTCATCTTGAATGGTTGGTTAAAAGTTCGAGGAACTTCTCGTGTGTCACGTCTTTGGTATAATTTTGATGTATACTACTCAAAATAAATTACAAATAGTCACCCAGTTAGGTCAACGTGTATGTAATATCCCCAGCAGAAGCAACGTCACTTGGGGATCTCCCTCCAGCTTGTACGCAGAAAAAGTCCCGCTAACTCTTTGACACATTTGGTCCTTCGACATTTGGACAACTAATAGAGAACCCATGCCATAGACTTACATCTAGTCTCTGAAATGAACACATTTTTCAGAAAAAGCAGTTAAAAATTAATATCATAAAATATAATGAAAAGGAGCTCAGAGACTTTCTTTTTTTTCAGAGGCTGTAGTAATCTAGACTTGCCACATATTCTAGACTTGCATAGGCTTTCTTTAATATATTTGTTTCAGGGTCTGTGTGACAGACTACCCATGACACTGAGCAAGTAGCCAGGATTCCTGTGTTACATGGATCAGCTGTAGTCTCTGTAGACTTGCACATCTCTAATGTTATAATTAATAGTTTAAATGATAATTTCTAAAAAATATAAATATACTTCTAACAGACTGGTCCCCTTATCTAGACTTGCCTCTTTAAAGGATACAATTACTATACATCCATGGGCTTAGCATTGAGTACTGCCTTGGAGCAAGGCTATAATCTTTAGTATACGAGTGAGTGAGTATGATTGTACGCCGTTTTTAGCAATATTCCGGCAATATCACAGCGGGGGACACCAGAAATGGGCTTCACACATTGTACCCATGTGCAGAATCGAACCCAGCGTGACGAGCGAACGCTTTAACCACTAGGCTACCCAAACGCCCCTCTCTAGTATACGAGGAGATAATATATACGTCAGTGAGATGTTATTAGTATTTCGTATTGTTTAATAAAGGAGCCGCCGGTAAAAAAAAGGCAGAAATTCCTGTGTAATAAATAATTTTATAACCAATATTAACCATGTCAGTTTATATATTCCAGTCCACTCTGAACCAGAAATTCTCTTAAAGGTCATCATCTAAAATAGTGATATATTATTAGATTTATTATCCACTCCCTATTATCCTTGTGCCATCAAGACAACTCTGTCTCTGCCTAATTTGTTTATTGCTATGGCTCTCCATTGATGTGTTTGATGTGATCCTACCAATGTGAAATGTATAATGAGCTGGTGGCCCCTTTATGGGATAAACAATTCAATAAATCGCCGGTCATGTCCCACAGCTGTGGCGATTGAACCAAATTGTTTCAAAGCAGTGTTTGATTTCTTGTAGCGAGGCAGTGTTCTGCGCGAGGTGGGGAGGTCGTGGTCAAGCTGAGAGGTGACCGAGTGGAACTGCTGGGTAAGGCTGCTTTTGTCATGGACGGAGTGATGAAACTGTAGCCATAGTAACCAGAAACAGCTGGGCATAACAAGTCAGTGATGAAAGGAACACCTCTCCGCCTTGGCATTGTTGCAGTATATAGCCAAGAGCACCATGGTCGCCATTTTGTCAGTGACACCTCAAGTAAGGAGGAAATGCCATTATTTCGGTTGCTTTGAATAAAACGTTGTCTTTTTCATAATGACTGTAAGCGGCTTTAAAGAAATGTATGGTGTACCGTGATTTAGAATATCCCAATGCCATTCCACCTTGGTTAGGGTCATACTCTCTTCTGGTTATTAATACACCATGGAATTTAGAAAGTGGTCAGCTGTAACACATCTTATATCTGGGATTACACTTTCTCAGTAAAGTACAGATTCTTGTACCTTTGTTGGGTTGAGTTCCACCCGGGATTCGAACCCACACCCTAACAGTCAGGCACCTAATCGTCAGCACACAAATCCACCCGTCTAACCCATTCAGCCACCGGGGCTTCCACAGACGACATTTCACCCGAGGGTCGACGTCCTGTGCAGACACCGACTGAATGGGTTAGACGGCTGGCTGTGTATGCTGGCGATTAATCCCAAATATAACATGTGTTACTCTCTTCTGGTTGATAAGCGGATTCAGCTATACAATATCATCATATATTTCTCAATAATACTGCTTATGGTACAGCGTTGCTTTTGTAAATCATCTCCAAGACGCTCATGTAGGCATTAGGGGAAGGAACAAGGCACAAGCTCCATCAACACACACATCGATATTATACACCACGTTGCCCGTCCAGTAATTTTTCAGTCTGCATTTCTCCTAGGCCTATTCCGGCTTCCTTCGGCCAATCTCCCTCTTGCCAATTGAAAATGTTTCCAACCCGTGAAGATCCGGGCTTGAATTGATCTTCAGTAACCCATGCTTGTAAGAGGCGACTTACGGGATCGGGTGGTCAGACTCGCTGCTTTGGTTGACACATGTCATCGTATCCCAATTGAATAGATCGATGCTCATGCTGTTGATCACTGCATGAATTGTCTGGTCCAGACTCGATTATTTACAGACCGCCGCCGTAACTGGAATATTGCTGAGTGTGGCGTAAAACTAAACTCACTCACTCACTGAAAATGTTTCCATTCTGTGGATCGGAAACCATCATTAGTAACACACACCGGTCACTATTCTTAGCTGAAGATGTCAGCACCGAGCCTGTGTCCTCCATTTATGAAATACTATTATTTGCTGGTATATGTATTTTATTTCCATCAATGTATGTTTGGGGTTGTTGACAGGGGTGGAACCTCAGTAAGAAATACTTGTTACACCGACTACACTGAGAAACGGGTGATCAGGATCACTGGTCACGTGTGTAAACGTACCCTGTCGTACTGAAGAATGAAGCAGGTCAAGAAATCAAGCATTTATAAGCAAAAGTGTTACTCTGGAAATAATAGAACAGGCATTGGTGGCGGTGAGTCCCTTAGCATGCCAGGATCTTCTGATTGTGGGAGCGAAATTCACCCGATTAATGTTGTGAGCCTTGATTTATCACCACCGTGTCTCTATGCTCGTTTTACAATCTAAAGACGTGCACCGTTTACGGCTTTCATTTACGGACCCGTGAAGATCCGGGCTAGAACTGGTCTTCAGCAACTTACGTTCGCTCTAAGAGTTGTCTGACGGGGTCAGGTGGTCAGGCTCGCTAACTTGCTTGATGCATGACATCTCATTGCACATGCGCAGATCGATGGCCATGATGTCAATCAACTGGATTGTCTGGTCCAGACTCGTTTTTTACAGACCGAAGCTGGAATGTTGCTGGGTGCGGCGTTAAACAACAAACTTTCACTCACGCCGTGTTCCAAGCGACGTTAAACCGTACTCACTCACTCACTCATACAATACAGAACAAGTTAGATATTTTATGATCACCATTTATTCGTGAGCGCACAATTCTATCGTTACCAAACTGACGGTACTTGGGAACTGGAATGGTTGTCAGGCTTAGTGTCTGACTGCACGTCATAATGACCGGACCGTCAGAGACGCTTCTTATAACCAACGATTTACCCAGACCTTTCATTTACATCCCGCACTGATGAGCAGGAGTGCTGACGGTGGCACGAAAAACACAACGAAAAAGAACGGTGCATATACACCACTTACATGATATTTAGGAGATAGTTAGGCAGGGCAAGATAAGCGAGCGAGAAAACCATATATCCCCCCGTAAAACAATAATAAAATAAAAACTTCAATCACAAATGGGACCTTCTCTTCCTTGTACTTAGATGACTTTCAAATGTATCCATATATACATAACAGCTTTCTCATCGATTACGTTATATATGTTTATTAACATAATATTGATATAATACCCGTACATCATTGATCTGTATGTATCACAGTTTTGTAAATATACTACAAACAAAAAGTATGGGAACTCCCTAAAATTATTGATAGTCATATATAAACTTAAACGTGGTGAGGTCATTTATACTTTAAGGTAAATGCCTTTTTGTGTGCTTAATGGGCACTTTAAACGACATGTTGGAACATGCAGTAAAACAACTGATATAATATTCATTGAGTTTGAGTGAAATGAAACATTGTCAAAAACAGCGAAAAACAAGGGTGCTGAAACACACAACACCATGTTTTATTCAAACGCCCAAACACAACAGCCTAGTGCATGTGGAAGACAGACAGACGCAATGTTTGCGTGGCAGCACCACTTGTACACTGTATTTTGACAAAGCCTTCATAGATATTCGCATCCCTCAGGTGTCCCAGAAACCTATGATCCGCGATTCGCCCTTATCATGTTTCTTCATCTCACTCACTCACTCAACTACATCAAACTCCCCTCGGTCACCTGGCCACTATCACCACAGTTCATCAAAAATTACAGCGTCATCGAATACTAGAATAATTTCGACTTGATAACGACTGAGAACCCTCTTTCTTGACACAAGAAAGAATGAGCATATCCCGTAAATAACACACTCCAGTAAACATCATAACCTGCGTCCTTGTGCCTTCATAAAAGCCGCTCGATGAAATGAACGATCAATTACTACCTTTAATAAGTCTATTCGTGGCCGAACACTGCATGATTAATGAGTGAAGGATACACGTGTGGATCATGATGAACTGACAATATACATGATTGTGCCCATGTTTTGCTCAGAGAAGGCTGTGTTTCGTGAGCTGATTTCAAATGAGTATTGAACCCTTTGAGTCCAATACGACCATCTGCTCTATGGATTTTATGACAACACGACGAGCACTTTGCGACATATGTTATAAGTGTCACATTTCTGGTTGATCAAACAACCATGACTTTATAAACAACAACACAATACTGGAACAAATTCAAGCAATCCTTGAACTAAATTTCTCTTTACAATCAAAGACGACACAGAGCGTTGCCATAGAATTGTATCTGCAAAGTTCCATTTCTAGGCAAGACAAGAAATGGATTAGATCGTATTTGTCGGGCAAAATTCCATGACCCGAGTCTTAATATCATACGTATTCAAATGAAAACGCCTAAGTTTGTGATAGAAACGACACAACCCTTTCTACATCCGTAAGAAACTCTGCTAAAAGCAGAGTCGATTGTACAAGTCTGACTATATCATGAGTATATGTATGTTTGACCCCGCATTCTGCAGTATTACAGCTGTAGAGAACGGTCTGTAAACAATCGCGTCTGGACCAGACAATCCAGTGATTGACGCCAGGAGATACGATGACAGAGCATGTGTTTATGAATCACTATCAAGTAGTAATAATATAGGTGTTCGCGAAAAGTAGAGAGCAGTTGATATGACAGAGACACAAACATGACCACACAAGAGCACTGCCTCTGTCTGTTCTTGTTTCTGTAGAGAGCAGTTGATATGACAGAGGCACAAACATCACCACACAAGATCGCTGCCTCTGTCTGTTCTTGTTTCTGTAGAGAGCAGTTGATATGACAGAAACACAAACATGACCACACAAGAGCACTGCCTCTGTCTGTTCTTGTTTCTGTAGAGAGCAGTTGATATGACAGAGGCACAAACGTCACCACACAAGATCACTGCCTCTGTCTGTTCTTGTTTCTGTAGAGAGCAGTTGATATGACAGAGGCACAAACATCACCACACAAGATCACTGCCTCTGCCTGTTCTTGTTTCTGTAGAGAGCAGTTGATATGACCGAGACACAAACATCACCACACAAGATCACTGCCTCTGTCTGTTCTTGTTTCTGTAGAAAGCAGTTGATATGACAGAGGCACAAACATCACCACACAAGATCACTGCCTCTGTCTGTTCTTGTTTCTGTTGAGAGCAGTTGATATGACCGAGACACAAACATCACCACACAAGATCACTGCCTCTGTCTGTTCTTGTTTCTGTTGAGAGCAGTTGATATGACAGAGGCACAAACATCACCACACAAGATCACTGCCTCTGTCTGTTCTTGTTTCTGTAGAGAGCAGTTGATATGACCGAGACATAAACATCACCACACAAGATCACTGCCTCTGTCTGTTCTTGTTTCTGTAGAGAGCAGTTGATATGACAGAGGCACAAACATCACCACACAAGATCACTGCCTCTGTCTGTTCTTGTTTCTGTAGAGAGCAGTTGATATGACAGGCGCAAAGAGCACCACACCTGTGTGTTACCTCTGAGGCAGACAGAGGACCAAATAGCACCACTACTTCATGTTACCTGAATGTGTCGGGTTTATGAAATCCATGAACGGTGAGGTTGTTTAGGAGGTAGTGTATTGCCCGCATGTCCCCTTGATTCATATAGTGAAACGATACGGATACTTTGCTCAGTCTGTTGTTTGATTTCTGTAAAACACAGTATGTACACTGTCAAAACACGGCCATGTTTATCGACTACTCTCTCGGGTGGCATGATCTATATATATACTCATACTGAGCTGTTTGACAAGCGAAACAGAGAAGCAAAATATAATACAAGCATAAAATGGTATTCCCAATATAATTAGCAAAAATGGCGATATATAATAGATATATGCCCTCTTCAAATATACCTTTAAAATCATTCGAGGGGTCACGTGACAAGTTCAAGTAATTCGAAATAACAAGAAGAGGATGTACATTTAGCTCAGTTTTTGTTCACAGTGTAGCTTTTCTTTCTGGAGCATAATACTTTTTATTATGATATTTCCACTCGTTAAGAACACGTTAGAAAAAACACCTTTTATCCCAGGCGTGAAAAGCTACAGACAAGAGACTCTATGCCTTCGAGATCAAAACCCGTTAAGCACACATAAATATATATTTTAAAATTGTATCCCAAACGTGAAAGGTGAAGACAAGATGTTCTATATCTTCTCGATATGTTTGAACAAACACAACAAGGAACCCCGTTAAGAGCACGTTACAATACAAACATAAGGTATATCTCAAACGTGAAAAGCGAAAGACCAGAGATTCTTTGCCTTCTCGAAGGCACATGTTTGAGCAAACACACCAAAATTCACCTACCCAAAATGTCTGTCGCATGCGTACCCAAGAAGGTGTCGTGTCCGTCTGTCCTGTCATAAAATACTCAGCAGACGACCAGTGAAATACTTCCTGGTTATTGTGATCTGTGCTGTTTCCGGTTACACCACCTAGGGCCTTCACACACATGCCGATCCGTCTATCCTCGGCGCCCTTCTCTTCGCACTCTTGTGTCTGATTACTGTGTAGTACTATGTTCTTTAACAACTCCCTGCTCATGACATAACCTGCTCCTCCGCTGTGATAGGTGAAATCTTCCAGGCGAAATTTGGAACCATAGTATACAGGCTCATCCGGGTTCTTTTCTTTCAGGAAGTGACGTACGTTGTCTACAACGACGTAGGTATCGTCGTCAGCTTTGAGGAACCAATCAGCTTTGTGTATGTAGTGTTTGAAAATGTAACGCAGTGCACCCATAGTTTTCTTGATTAGATTTCTACGTTTCTCTTCAAAGCCAAGTCCGATCGTTGGGAATGTAGAGTCAGTCAATGAGCTGAAGAACAGCGTTGTATCACACTCACTTGCCCATGTTTCTTTCACTGCAGTAGTTCTGTTTTTGAGATTCTTTGGTTGTGTCAGTACCCAGCACAATATTCGAGGAGCTGTGTGGAACAAGAGTTCACATTGATAACAACTATCGCCTACAACAGTTCACATGTTGTAATGAGATGGAATAAGTGAGTGGCTGTGTTTAGTTTTACGCCACGTTTAGCAATATTCCAGCAATATCACGTCGGGGGACACCAGGAATGGGCTTCACACATTGTACCCATGTAGGGAATCGAACCCGGGTCTTCGGCGTCACGAGCGAACGCTTTAACCACTAGGCTACCCCACGGCCCCGTAGTGGGATAGAAAATGACGAGTAAGGTGTAAACTACTGGCAGAAGTGAATGAGTAGCTTTATGCCGCTTTTGGCAATTTTCTTGCAATAAACGGCAATAATAACTGTACAGCTGGAATGGAAAACGGCTCTTCAGCGTGACGAGCGAACCCACCGCCCTTACAGGCAGAAGAAAGAATACACAGTTTTTTTCGATAGTTCTGTATTTGGCATCTATCGTTGTTGTGGACCTTAATAACAATTTTACGTTTGCAGAGTTTCAGCGACCGTTTTCAGCGTCATAACGCTTGTAAACATTTGATCAATTGCTCGAGCGTATACTTTCTTTTGCCCGGAAATTTACTTGCAGATTAAAATGATCTGGATAGATATCAGTCTTGCAAAACCCTATTGCGTTTTACAGTATAAGCAGAATTTGTGTTTGTTGTTTAACGACGCATTCAGCAATGTTACAGCTATATGAATATATCGGTAAATAATCGAGCCTGGCCCAGATAATCCTGTGATTGACATCATGGGCATCGATCTACGCAAATCCGGTGGCATGCATTAACCAAGTCAGCGAACCTGACCTGTTAGTCGCCTCTTACAATAAGCCCGGGTTGCGGAAGATCAATTCTAACACAGATGTTCACTGGTACTGATTCAGCATAATCCATGGCACTGAGACTCCGAAGAGAGAGTCCTGATGACTATGCAAACGCGGATCCCTCCCGAAGTGTCTTTGTATTTAGTTTCGTGATTACCGCCATAAATAAATACAGTTTACTTATATTTAACCTCAAATATACAGAGTCTTGTACCGATCACAGTTTAGATACAGTGAGTGAGTGAGTTGAGCTTCACGCCGCTTTTAGCAATAGTCCAGCAATATCACGGCGGGGGACACCAAAAATGGGCTTCACACATTGTAGCTATGTGGGGACTCGAACCTGGGTCTTCGGCGTGACGAGCGAACGCTTTACCCCACCGCCCCGTTTAGACACCGATCCCCGTTTCGATACAGATTCTTGTACCGATCACAGTTTCGATACAGATTCTTGTACCGATCACAGTTTCGATACAGATTCTTGTACCGATCACAGTTTCGATATAGATTCTTGTACCGATCACAGTTTCGATACAGATTCTTGTACCGATCACAGTTTCGATACAGATTCTTGTACCGATCAGTTTCAGTTTGATACCGATTCAGTTTGTATAGATCTTGTACCGATCACAGTTTCGATACAGATTCTTGTACCGATCACAGTTTCGATATAGATACCGATCACAGTTTCGATATTGTACCGATCTCAGTTTCGATATAGATTCTTGTACCGATCACAGTTTCGATATAGATTATTGTTCCCATCTCCGTTTCGATATAGATTCTTGTACCGATCACAGTTTCAATACAGATTCTTGTACCGATCACAGTTTCAATACAGATTCTTGTACCGATCACAGTTTCGATACAGATTCTTGTACCGATCACAGTTTCGATACAGATTCTTGTACCGATCACAGTTTCGATATAGATTCTTGTACCGATCACAGTTTCGATATAGATTCTTGTACCGATCACAGTTTCGATACAGATTCTTGTACCGATCACAGTTTCAATATAGATTCTTGTACCGATCACAGTTTCGATATAGATTCTTGTACCGATCTCAGTTTCGATATAGATTCTTGTACCGATCACAGTTTCGATATAGATTATTGTTCCCATCTCCGTTTCGATATAGATTCTTGTACCGATCACAGTTTCAATACAGATTCTTGTACCGATCACAGTTTCAATACAGATTCTTGTACCGATCACAGTTTCGATACAGATTCTTGTACCGATCACAGTTTCGATACAGATTCTTGTACCGATCACAGTTTCGATACAGATTCTTGTACCGATCACAGTTTCGATACAGATTCTTGTACCAACCACAGTTTCAATACAGATTCTTGTACCGATCACAGTTTCGATACAGATTCTTGTACCGATCACAGATCACAGTTTCGATACAGATTCTTGTACCGATCACAGTTTCGATATAGATGCTTGTACCAACCCAGTTTCAGTTTCAATACAGATTCTTGTACCGATCACAGTTTCGATATAGATTCTTGTACCGACCACAGTTTCAATATAGATTCTTGTACCGTTTCACAGTTTCGATATAGATTCTTGTACCGATCACAGTTTCGATATAGATACTTGTACCGACCACAGTTTCAATATAGATTCTTGTACCGATCACAGTTTATACAGATTCTTGTACTTTGTACCAACCACAGTTTCAATGGAGATTCTTGTACCGATCACAGTTTCGATCAGATTCTTGTCGATATAGATTCTTGTACCGACCACAGTTTCGATATAGATACTTGTACCAACCACAGTTTCAATATAGATTCTTGTACCGATCACAGTTTCGATATAGATTCTTGTACCGACCACAGTTTCAATATAGATTCTTGTACCGATCACAGTTTCGATACAGATTCTTGTACCGATCACAGTTTCGATATAGATACTTGTACCAACCACAGTTTCAATACAGATTCTTGTACCGATCACAGTTTCGATATAGATTCTTGTACCGATCACAGTTTCGATATAGATTCTTGTACCGATCACAGTTTCGATATAGATACTTGTACCAACCACAGTTTCAATATAGATTCTTGTACCGATCACAGTTTCGATATAGATTCTTGTACCGATCACAGTTTCGATATAGATACTTGTACCGACCACAGTTTCAATATAGATTCTTGTACCGATCACAGTTTCAATGGAGATTCTTGTACCGATTATTAGTTTCGACACGGATTCTTGTACCGATCTCAGTTTCGATATAGGTCCTTATACTGTTTTCCAAACCGGTACAAGAATATGTATCGAAACGTCGCACTCAGGAAACATAATACAATATGTGAAGCCCATTTCTGGTGTCCTCCGCCATGATATTGCTGGAATATTGCTTAAAGCGGCGTAAAAGTAAACTCACTCACTCAGGAAATAAAATGTGTTGTAATCCAAACAATGTGTCAGCATTGCACTATTGAGGTTAAATACCATGTTGAAACCATAAAGATGAATGTATCCGTGTAAACATACAGACATGGTTTAGTACAGCTTCAGTCAACAGTAGACCTACATTCGCCCCAAAATAAACCACAAAAGGAAGAATGTCCTCCGGTGGCTTTATTAGCTGTCTGGTCAGCACGTGCCATCTCCATATTTGGGCACCTATGATTATGTTCGACAGACATGTCGGAAACAAGTAATGGAGAGGCTACAAGAGAGCGTTAGTTTAGTACGACGTATCTCGTGCACCCCAAAAGAAGAGTTACTAAACCGCATTTCCTTATTGCGATTTTTACTGTACAACAAGTAATCTTCAATTATTTTTGTGTTCCCATATCTAACTGAATTCTATCATTATAAGCATCATACGTACACCTTCTTCTGTGTTGCGTGTGGTCCGCGTCGTGCCTGTACACCACAGAGTGTTTGTTTGGACGACCTTCCTCGTTGTTCCGCCAATGAAGCTTCAAGTTGTAAGTTAGCAGCACAACTGTAAGACCAAGAGCAGCACCACGAACAGATGCAGTCATGTTGGGGTGTTTTGATGTGCACACAAGCTCAAAGCATGTCTGGCTTAACACTCATAGTGATGTGGATCCGTGTTTAGTCAACATGCGTCCAGCACGGGACTGTATGTACTATGTACAAACGGTGGCTCGGGTTGCCCTTCCATACGTCACTCTGTTGTCATCACCAGCAGCTGGCTGTATTGATGTTTCCTGGTGTACATACGGCCTGTCTTGGATCTTTGACCAATGTGGAGATATGGCAGCCCCATCCATCAGAACATTGCTTCAATAGACAACATGATGCATTATTGTGGCGCCACACTCCCAGGTAGGATTACATTGTTGATTTTGACATTTTCAAGGTAGCTCGATTAATCTCCGTGGACCATTATTTGTCAATCTTATTGATTCTGCTCACTTGTAATTTGTTTGAATCTCTTTGCATATATTCATTGTTTGTGTGTGAGTTAGCGATGCAGCATATATGCAGCGATGCAGCATATATGCAGCGATGCATATATGCAACTCGTGGAGCGTCAACCAGCTATTGACATGCTGGCAACTGGCAGAGTTTCATAGTCCATGGTTAGAGGACCAAGTGAGCGTCAAGAGTAAAGGATCTATTCATCCAAACCAGGGTTCAAAGAAATTCAGCTCAAACGGGAATTTAATCGCTGCAAACATTCAGAATTCTGGAGTACGCGTCAGATTATTAGAAACCATCAGCATGCAGCTTAAAGGTCGACAAGCACGCGTTCATAGTGGCAACAGAAACCAGTGGAGTTTATAACGTCGACTATGGGTTATCAGGATTTAGATGAGCCTTTCACTTTGCATTTCCTTGATAGGCGTGGTCGTGTCTGGCGATGATGAACTGAACGCCAAACTGTTGTCATCTCCAGACGGTACAGTGACTGAAGATTGGTTAAAGTGAGGGTTAGCTTCACTTTGACTGACCGAACCCCAGTCCATATTGTGTAGTAAGGATCGGGACAACACACTGACACCAAATGTTTGCAAACTATGCGAGTCGACGAATTTCCTGCAGGATGACAAGCCTGGCCCATCGTGTACAAAATGACATTGCTCACCTCTTGCAACACAAAATATAGACTACCATGGCCAACAATGAACCCAGATCTCCCCAATTCCACCCCCATCTGAACACGTGTGGGACGTGTAGGGCAACGTGTGCGCCAACGTCTTAGGCGACCGACCTTGGCGGTTGAACTTGCCTTGGCGCTGCAAGAGGCAAGGCACAGAGGGCTTCTTTCGGATACTCAATATGCTTCATCGGCCGAGTGAATAAGTGAATGAGTATGGTTGTACGCCCCCTTTAGCAATATTCCAGCAATGTCACGGCGGGGGACACCAGAAATGGGCTTCACACATTGTACCCATGTGGGGATTCGAACCCGGGTCTTCGGCGTGGCGAGCGAACACTTTAACCACCAGGCTACCCCACCGAATAAATGTTTGACAGTAAGCATCGATTTTTACAATTCCCTTGCGTCCCTTATGATCTCTAGCGGTCACAACATCTACTGTCACACTTCACAGTTACCGTTACCTTTATGAATAAAATTATAACTAGAAACTTATATCTCTTACAAATTTGGACATTTGAACTTATGTCCGAAAAAAACCTGTATTTTAAAGAGTATTTTAGGCTGTATTCTAAAATATATCTTTGGACCTGATATTTGACGCATTCATCTGGTTACTCTACATGTTCTCCATTTCTGGAAGTTGGAAGCGGAACCCTTTCTACGGGTTTGTACACACTTCAATAGGGTTGTCATATGTCGAGTAATGATGTAAATAAGAAATTAATTCATATTTCATGCTTTGAATAATTTCTTATGGATATAGAAAGGGTTTTGTCGCTTCTATTCAAATATGATAAAGTGCATGTGAGCTACCCTTTCTTGCTCTAATTTCGCATTCACAAATGCACGGGAGAGAAAATAAATATAATTGTAGATATTTGTACACAATGTACGGTATATCGACCATGTGACGTGCCTAAAGCTCCAGATCCGGTCCGGTTACAATTTTACGAAAGCTGTTGCCACGTTGAAGGCTGTCCTGTGTATTTGCAATCAGGCAGTAATCATTGGAATCCTGTCATTAACGTATGGGCAGCTTTGTTCACAGCGACTCTAATACATGGAGTACTCTAAATGCAAGGGGATGTATAATGTTTGGGAGTGCCAATGAAGTACTTTTACTTGCTTACCAGTGTGTATTGGGGTGCGTCTTGGCGGTTTGTGTCAAATCATAATTTGATGTGAAAGTAAGATTTTTTCTAAATGCTTTATATTTATTGCTGATTGTATATCCCACCTGTTACATGTGTTTTGATATATATTCCTTCATCAATGCATGAATCATTCAGATTGTATTTATGTTTTTGTTTGTTTGTTGTTTACACAATAACTTGAACTTCAGCAAAGCCATCAATCTGATTATCATTCAGTTCTCTAGTGATGATTGTTGTGGTTGTATGAACTACCACTCCACCAGTTCTTGTTGTAGCCACCCCTAACATCTGCCGATCTCACTATACTTGCAATCAACAGTAAGTACATGTACCTCCTTGCGGACCAACGTAATGCTTCCATGGCGTTGTTTTATAAATGGGCGATGCCGATTCGGAGAAGCTGAGGATTAGCGTTGTGAACCATTGTACGACAGGCATTTAGATGGTTATTATAATGTGTCACGACGGCGGTATTCACTACTTCCTGTTGATAACATTGACTAGTGTCCCAGGTAGTGTCATGAGATCCAACTTGCAGTCATGCGAAACACAACCACACCCCATCACTGATCATGGCCTCCAGCCAAGGGTTCAGCTTCATGGATCTTATCCTGGTGGTATGCCTCGTTACAACGTCTCTATACGGCCCGTGAGTAGGTCATGACACTTCGCGAGACCTCAGTACTTCTGGTGACAAACAACGTTTCATACCTTTTCGAACAGTCTCATGGTTGTCAGTTGACAGTAAGGAACCGACAATCTTTGCGGGAATAACTAATTTGCGATCTAACCATCCCCAAATCAGCCAACTGCCAACGGCTGTGACAGCAAAACATGGTTGTACACTTGGTCCGGTCTAGTAAAGTCATATCTGGCGATCGCGCAATTTGGAACCAGAACTTGTTCTTGAATTTACGCTTGTCACTGGAAATCTGGTACCGGAAGTAAGCTGGGCCCCGTCTCGCATATTGCAAGTTGGCGCGAGCCGGGAATCAGATTAGTACTGGAAGTAGCGCCTCGCGAGGCTTACAGGCCCAATACGGCCGTCTGTAACGTGTAGAAGCCTTTTTTCATCAGACCAATGAACGCAACGCCTCCAATTGCGATTTTCTCAGACCCAGCTTGTGCCAGTCTGACTGGTAAGGAACCCTAATCGCTCAGACCAGCACCCTTCAGTCGGACATATTGCCGGACGAATTATGACTCGGTCATCACGGTCACTGGTCTTCCGGGTCTTGAGCGATTGTTTTCTTCAGACCAGCACCCTTCAGTCGGACATATTGCCGGACGAATTATGACTCGGTCATCACGGTCACTGGTCTTCCGGGTCTTGAGCGATTGTTTTCTTCAGACCAGCACCCTTCAGTCGGACATATTGCCGGACGAATTATGACTCGGTCATCACGGTCACTGGTCTTCCGGGTCTTGAGCGATTGTTTTCTTCAGACCAGCACCCTTCAGTCGGACATATTGCCGGACGAATTATGACTCGTTCATCACGGTGACTGGTCTTCCGGGTCTTGGCCGATTGTTTTCTTCAGCAGTGGCCACGTGCTTCCTCCCAAGTTAGCCTGTTCAAATTATCGCCGATTCCTGCGTCATGCATGACAATAACTACCCATAGCGTATTTTCTGAAAGTCTACGTCAAGTCATGTCATGAAAAGTATAATTTTAGCACTGTCGTCTTTTATAAATCAGTTCGGAAAACTGATGTGCACATACTACAATTATGAACTAATGTCTTCTTACCGTAGTGTGCTCAAAAGCTTGCGCCATTGCAACCTTTGAACAAGTGACTTTGATATTGTGTCAAGAAAGTGTTTCGCAAGTGCTTTCCAGTATACTAAGGTATGGTTGCCTGTTTAGACCAAAATCATGAACCCCACCCTTGGATTCAGGTGGCGCTTAGTCCATGCTCATGTGTAGAACCTCATTGTCAAAATTAATCCCAATACCCGTGTAAATCACATGTGAATGCACACCATGTACCACCATGTTCCATAGTCGATAATGTAATGCTAATTATGCACGAGAAACAATTGATTTATCATTGAATTGATCATAACATGCACATTGCTTGTCAACGCCACGCCTCACTGCCTCGATGATATTGGTATTGCATCGCGTCAGTAAGTAACTCGGTGCTAACATCCGCATAATGTATGGATTGAAGTGAATATATGTATAGTGGCGTGTGGTCCTGTGCACATAGCTCAGGTCGCGAATCAGTTGAAGTTAAGCAACGTCGAGCTCGGCCAGTCCTTGGATGGGTGACCGTGTTTGGCAGCTTGACCCTGAGAGTTCCTAGGACTTCAATCCTGCCCCACAACGAAGCACATGTGATACATGTGGTCTCACCTTAGGCAAATGAGTTTGTTCGCCCAGCAGAAATTGGGTACCCGGCGAGATAAGTCATGTGACTATAACCTTCTATAGCCTAGCAGGCAGCGTGGGTTATCTGGGGTAATAAGAATCAGATTCTGATTAAGCGCCACGAGCAATCACTTGGTGTTTGGACACTGTGCGCTATAGAAGATGACTTATCAATAATTATTATATTTCATCAAAATATATAAGCATACTCTTTCTCTGAGGGCTTATATATTTTGGTGAATTATATATATATATTCACTTCAATCAGTACATTATGCGTATGTTAGCAATGAGTGATTCACTACGATTCACTACGCTGCTCATTTAGCCAGCGATACACGATGACGCACATTTAGTCAATGATCCACGAAGACGCACAGCCAATGATCCACAATGACGCACATTTAACCAATGAAACATGATGACGCACAGTTTGCCAATGACACATAATGTCACACAGTTAGCCAATTACACAAACAGTCAAACAGCCAATGAAACATGATGACGCACAGTTGGCCAATGACACATAATGTCACACAGTTAGCCAATGACACACACAGTCAAACAGCCAATGAAACATGGTGACGCACACTTAGCCAATGACACACAATGCAATACAGTTAGCCAATGACACACACAGTCAAACAGCCAATGAAACATGATGACGCACACTTAGCCAATGACACACAATGCAATACAGTTAGCCAATGACACACACAGTCAAACAGCCAATGAAACATGATGACGCACACTTAGCCAATGACACACAATGCAATACAGTTAGCCAATGACACACACAGTCAAACAGCCAATGAAACATGATGACACACAGTTAGCCAATGACACACAATGCAATACAGTTAGCCAATGACACACACAGTCAAACAGCCAATGAAACATGGTGACGCACAGTTAGTCAATGACACACACAGTGCCAAACAGTTAGCCAATGACACACACAGTCAAACAGCCAATGAAACATGGTGACGCCAATGACACACACACTTAGCCAATGACACACACAGTCAAACAGCCAATGAAACATGGTGACGCACAGTTAGCCAATGACACACACACAATGCAAAACAGTTAGTCAATGACACACACAATGTCAAACAGTTAGCCAATGACACACACAGTCAAACAGTTAGACAATGACACACACACAATGTCAAACAGTTAGCCAATGACACACACAATGTCAAACAGTTAGCCAATGACACACACAGTCAAACAGTTAGCCAATGACACACACACACACAATGTCAAACAGTTAGCCAATGACACACAGTCAAACAGCCAATGGAACATGGTGACGCACAGTTAGCCAATGACACACACAGTCAAACAGTTAGCCAATGACACACACACACAATGTCAAACAGTTAGCCAATGACACACACAGTCAAACAGCCAATGAAACATGGTGACGCACAGTTAGCCAATGACACACACACAATGCCAAACAGTTAGCTAATGACACACACAGTCAAACAGTTAGCCAATGACACACACAGTCAAACAGTTAGCCAATGACACACATAGTCAAACAGTTAGCCAATGACACACACACACACACACACACACACACACACAATGCCAAACAGTTAGCCAATGACACACACACACAATGCCAAACAGTTAGCCAATGGCACAAAGAGTCAAACAGTTAACCAATGACACACACACAATGTCAAACAGTTAGCCAATGACACACACAGTCAAACAGCCAATGGAACATGGTGACGCACAGTTAGACAATGACACACACAGTCAAACAGTTAGCCAATGACACACACACAATGTCAAACAGTTAGCCAATGACACACACAGTCAAACAGCCAATAAAACATGTTGACGCAGTTAGCCAATGACACACACAGTCAAACAGTTAGCCAATGGAACATGGTGACGCACAGTTAGCCAATGACACACACAGTCAAACAGTTAGCCAATGACACACACACAATGTCAAACAATTAGCCAATGACACACACAGTCAAACAGCCAATAAAACATGGTGATGCAGTTAGCCAATGACACACACAGTCAAACAGTTAGCCAATGACACACACAATGTCAAACAGTTAGCCAATGACACACACAGTCAAACAGTTAGCCAATGACACACACAATGTCAAACAGTTAGCCAATGACACACACAGTCAAACAATTAGCCATTGACATACACAGTCAAACAGTTAGCCAATGTCAAGCGATGACGCACGGTTAGCCAATGATCACAGCAATGTCACATAGTTAGCCAATGACACACACAGTCAAACAGTTAGCCAATGATCACAATAATGCACATTTAGCCAATGATAAACAATTAGTTAATGACTGCAGTAGTACAGAGAGATACACGTAACTAACCGCTACTGACCGTCCCAGCGAGTTTTGAATAGAGCTGCCTTAAACATTATTTCAATTACTAGTATATTGTCACTATACTGGCATGTCAGTTTAATGTGAAAATTAAATTTCACCACTACCAATCGTGTAGAATGACATGTGGAATCTGGCACAGCAATTTAATTTGCATGCATAATGAAAGATATCAGTGACATATTTTCTACGAAAGTGACCATTTTCCCATAACCTGAAGATGGTGTACAACTCCGACTATACCATAAGCATGTGTTTATGAATCATTATCAGTATTCTCCAAAACACAATGTCACTCAATCATCTTTTTACCGTCCCTCATAACTGAATATACTCGTGCCAATAATGGTTGTCACCCCCAAGTCTATTAATAAAACTAAAGGGGGTGACACCCATTATTGGCATGGGTATATGAGTGGTGCTGTAATATATTCCTACTGTACCAAGTCATATATTTCAAGATGTATATCAGTGAGACGTAAATATAATATCCCTCTGACGGTCGTAGTACTTGAATAAGCCTCATGTTAAAGATGGTTACAATGTAACACTGGGATATAAACCACAGGCATCTTCTCTTTATTTCATACATACCAATTTTGTTATTTTGTAGGAAACTCAAGAATGAAGGCATCCTGGGCTTGGTACTGTGGAATGGTAGCAGGCATCGTTGTTGTTCTGACAGTGGTTTTCACCAAACTGAATATTTCAAGACGAAAGGGTGATATAGTTCCACGGGGTGTGCTAAATAGTTTGAAACACACCCTTCTCACCGAGGAACATGCAGCACCCCCACCTGGCAAAGGTGATATGACCTGAAGCAATATGTACAAGATACAAAATCTGATGCAAGCAAAAAGTCTTAAGCAGATTATTTTCGAAGTCTGAAACTAAAACAAGTGCCACTCTCCTGTCTCATAACCTGTATAAAAGCTATTTCAGAGATTAAAACATTCTGATGATAGGGGGCGGTGGGGTAGCCTAGTGGTTAAAGCGTTGGCTCGTCACGCCGAAGACCCAGGTTCGAATCCCCACATGGGTACAATGTGTGAAGCCCATTTCTGGTGTCCCCCGCCGTGATGTTGCTGGAATATTGCTAAAAGCGGCGTAAACCCAAACTCAGTCAGTCTGATGATAGTTTACTTAAACAACTGTTTTTTAGATTTTGCTATCAGTCTGTTGAGAAGTATAAACAATCCACTGTTGTTTTCAGGACAACGGATATTGTGTTGGATACTTACCCAACCTAAGAATCTGAAGAACAGGACTCTTGCTGTCAAAGAAACATGGGGAGGTGACTGTGACATAACTCTGTATTTTAGTTCCGTTACGGATAAACAGTTTCCCACAATAGGCTTAGGTATACCAGAGAAAAGACGGAACCTAGTCAAGAAGGTTATAGCTGCTTTAAAGTACATTGACAAGTTCTATTCGGACGAAGCCGATTGGTTCTTAAAAGCTGACGATGACACATTCGTCGTTGTTGAAAACTTACGTCATTTCCTGAAGACGAAAGACCCGGATGCACCAGTGTATTATGGGTGTAAACTCGAGGGCAAACGTCTTCACTATCACAGTGGTGGAGGGGGCTACGTAATGAGCAGGAATATTCTCAGGAAATTTGTTCAAAACATAAATAAATCAACAGACTGTCGAATGCAAGGAGCAGAGGACGCGGCGATTGGGAGATGCTTGAACTCTCTAGGCATCCTTCCTTCTTACAGTGTCGATCAAAAAGGGTACTTCGTCTTCCACTGGTCCTCGGTGCATATGTTCATGCTGGGACTCACGAAGACCACTCCAAACTGGGTGATCAAGAGACAACCATTCTGGGTAAGTTACTGAGAGATGCAGTCATACATTTGGGAGTATACAATGAAACTAACTTAAAGCCCTATGGGATAACACCGGTTCCTTGGTTTGGTTCCAAGAAAGTTATGCTTTTCGTAAAAGACGACTCAATGGATTGGGTGGTCAGGTTTGGTGACCTTGTTGATGGTATGTCATCGTTTCCCGTTGATCGTAGCCCACAATATAATAGCTTGTTTGTCTCACTAATAACAGCTAATTACACTAATAACAGTTAATTACACTAATTACAGTTAATTATCCCCCGTCGCGCGTTTAGCGCGAAGCGGGGGATATAGTATTAGGCTCCGTCCGTCCGTCCGTACGAATTGGAATATCTTAAGAACCGTTGACTGCATTCTTTTCATATTTGGTACCTAGGTTCATCACAGTAAAAGGAAGGTGCCAGTCAGGTTTGGTGACCTTGACCTTCATCTCAAGGTCAGAAGGGGACTTTAGCGTTTTACCTGCACGTTAAGCTATCTCAAGAATCATTCACTGGATTTTCTTCATATTCAGTACCAAGCTTTATCTGGGGCAGGCGCAGGGTCCAGTCGATTTTGGTGCCCTTCACATCATTTTCAAGGTCATGGCGACACTTTGAAGATTTCAGCATGTAAACCTGCATGTTAAGCTATCTCAAGAACCATTCACTTAATTTTCAAGGTCACAGAGACACTTTAAGATTTCAGCATATTAATCGACTTGTTATGCTTGTCAGGGCGATACCTCAAGAGCCATTCACTGGAGTTTCTTCTTATTTGACACCAAGCTTCATCTAGGGAAGGCACAGGGCCCAGTCAATTTTGGTGACCTTCACATAATTTTTAGGGTCACGGCAACACTTTGAAGATTTCAGCATGTTAACCTGAATTGTCAGCAAGATATTTTAAGAACGGTTCACTGGATTTTCTTCATAGACTTTCAAGACCTCCCTTGAATGATTTTCAATAAGCAATTTCTTTAGTACTAGTTTTGCATATTTCATACACTATGACATTCATGTCAAGGTCAAAGTCACTGTTGAAAATATGTGTGTGTTTGAACAACTAAACAGCAAGATATCAAGAGAGGTTGACTGGTCATGTTTTTGTTGACATTTAACTTCATCTTAAATTTTCATTACTTTATAAGTTTGATTTGATTATTTGCGGCGGGGATTATGTCACCTTAGTGACAATGCTTGTTACACTAATAACAGCCCGCATTCGTAAAGCCTTTATATACAGCATATGCAACATGAAACACAAACAAAATCTACTTGAAAATTGAATTTAAAAAAATATATATATAAGTTACTCGTTGAAAATAGTTCCCAAAATAGAGCAAACCCCACGTCCAAAAAATATATATCTGAAAAACGTCATGTCTTATTTGTTTTGTTTAGGTACCATTAAACATAGGCGTATCAGGCTCTCTGATCTGGCTTATAAATGTATCCCAGTTGCCTAGATCAATGCTCATGTTGTCAATCACTGGATTGTCTGGTCCAGATTATTTACAGCCCGCCGTCATAGAGCTGGAATATTTCTGAGGTTGTGGTTAAACCACAAACAAACAATCTCATTCGAAATATCACTGCCTTTGATCAGAAACAACCTTGTAACATATACTCAATGTTTATTGGCTTACCATTGAAAATGTTCGTTAGTGCGTGCATATAGCTGTTGCGTTGCATGCTACCCTGTTACCCTTGCTGCACGGGTGGATATGTTTAGTGTCATGTTCAACGTGGTTGTCAGGAGATACATTGTACTTTCCTGGTGGATTTTACCCGTCTTCAGCAAGCCATGCTTGCTGGCTGCTCAGGCTTGCTTACTGTTTGACACATGTCATCGTATCCCAATGCGTAGATTGATGCTCATGTTGTTGATCACTGGATTGTCTGGTCCAGACACCATATAGCTGGAATATCTGAGTGCCGCGTTAAACCACAAACCAACCAACCTAATGGATTTTCCTCAGATCATGCTGCCTGACTGTTTCTTTTTTATGTTTCAGAGTCGCCATAACGTCGCAAGCAATGTATCAGTTAGTTTCCACTTTGCGTTGAATGGTGATATGAGAGCGATGCACTTTCTCCTTAACAATCTCACCGTGTATGGCTACCGGAAACCAACGGTCTACCGGTCTGCAGGAGTCACGAAGAAGGGTTATGAAATGGGGAACGGTTACCGTGACCTTTCTCCTTAACAATCTTACCGTGTATGGCTACCGGAAACCAACGGTCTACCGGTCTGCAGGAGTCACGAAGAAGGTTTATGAAATGGGGAACGGTTACCGTGACCTTTCTCCTTAACAATCTCACCGTGTATGGCTACCGGAAACCAACGGTCTACCGGTCTGCAGGAGTCACGAAGAAGGGTTATGAAATGGGGAACGGTTACCGTGACCTTTCTCCTTAACAATCTTACCGTGTATGGTTACCGGAAACCAACGGTCTACCGGTCTGCAGGAGTCACGAAGAAGGTTTATGAAATGGGGAACGGTTACCGTGACCTTTCTCCTTAACAATCTCACCGTGTATGGCTATCGGAAACCAACGGGTTACGGGTTTTATAAGCTATGTTTTAGTGTAAGACGAACACATGTTAAATTATATGCTGATCCAGCTGATATGACTTTTTTGTTTATTAACGAAAGTTGACATCATGGGTTTTGTTATATTTAGTGTGTGTCTTATTTGTTTTGTTTAGGGTACCATTAAACATAGGCGCGTATCAGGCTCTCTGATCTGGCTTATAAATGTATCCCAGTTGCCTAGATCAATGCTCATGTTGTCAATCACTGGATTGTCTGGTCCAGATTATTTACAGCCCGCCGTCATAGAGCTGGAATATTTCTGAGTTGTGGTTAAAAACCACAAACAAACAATCTCATCTGAAATATCACTGCCTTTGATCAGAAACCAACCTTGTAACATATACTCAATGTTTATTGGCTTACCATTGAAAATGTTCGTTAGTGCGTGCATATAGCTGTTGCGTTATGCTACCCTATTACCCCTTGCTGCACGGGTGGATATGTTTTAGTGTCATGTTCAACGTGGTTTGTCAGGAGATACATTGTACTTTCCTGGTGGATTTTACCCGTCTTCAGCAAGCCATGCTTGCTGGCTGCTCAGACAACTTGCTTATCTGTTTGACACATGTCATCGTATCCCAATGCGTAGATTGATGCTCATGTTGTTGATCACTGGATTGTCTGGTCCAGACACCATATAGCTGGAATATCTGGAATTGAGTGCCGCGTTAAACCACAAAACCAACCAACCTAATGGATTTTCCTCAGATCATGCTGCCTGACTGTTTCTCTTTATGTTTCAGAGTCGCCATAACGTCGCGCAAACAATGTATCAGTTAGTTTCCACTTTGCGTTGAATGGTGATATGAGAGCGATGCACTTTCTCCTTAACAATCTCACCGTGTATGGCTACCGGAAACCAACGGTCTACCGGTCTGCAGGAGTCACGAAGAAGGGTTATGAAATGGGGAACGGTTACCGTGACCTTTCTCCATAACAATCTTACCGTATGGTTACCGGAAACCAACGGTCTACCGGTCTGCAGGAGTCACGAAGAAGGTTTATGAAATGGGGAACGGTTACCGTGACCTTCTCTCCTTAACAATCTCACCGTGTATGGCTACCGGAAACCAACGGTCTACCGGTCTGCAGGAGTCACGAAGAAGGGTTATGAAATGGGGAACGGTTACCGTGACCTTTCTCCTTAACAATCTTACCGTGTATGGTTACCGGAAACCAACGGTCTACCGGTCTGCAGGAGTCACGAAGAAGGTTTATGAAATGGGGAACGGTTACCGTGACCTTTCTCCTTAACAATCTCACCGTGTATGGCTATCGGAAACCAACGGGTTACGGGTTTTATAAGCTATGTTTTAGTGTAAGACGAACACATGTTAAATTATATGCTGATCCAGCTGATATGACTTTTTTGTTTATTAACGAAAGTTGACATCATGGGTTTTGTTATATTTAGTGTCATGAAAGAACCAACATACATATGGGTTAATTCGCCCATGTTAGCATGTCGGTGGTTCACCAACCAAACCCCAAACCCACGTTTAGATTATGTCGGTAGAGTCAGAGTAATTTACGTTACGTTGTGTTTGTTTACAGCTTTTCTTGTGGTAAATCATCGCACAGACCCACAGGTAATTTTACTTGATTGGCCTGTTCATCTATTCTCGATATCTAAAAACATATAATTTCGTTAACATTGATTTTTCTTACAATATGGAAAAATATGCTCGACATCAGTAGAGATTTTTTAAGCAAGTAATCATACGTTACCGTTATAACTCAAAATCTAGCATATTTTTCATAGTCATAGTTTTCATCATTATTCATTACCAGAACTAATTTACGTTACTATAATTTACGTTACCTCCACATTTGGAAATTTTGAAAGTTTTGCGAAATCTTTGTGTTTTGTTGTCTGGCATTGCCGAAATATCAAATGTGAATCAAACTTTGACAAGTGATCCTCCACATGATCCATCCACAGTCTGTGGCTCAAACATTTATTGTTATTTATATTAAATTTCTACCATGACTACGGTATCAGACGACGACTCACACTTCTTTGTTTTTCTTGTGTATTGAGAGTCCCGGGAACGCGATATTCAGTGTTAACTGTATCTTGACCGTTCCCGCGAAAGCGAAACCTAAATTGAGGAGGTTTAGTCCAGATTTCGCTTTCCCGGGCCATTACCTGGACACCCCTGTTTTTTGCGGGGGCATCGTCATCCATTTGTGTCAAGATCGTTTAGTTGGGGGTCAAAATCGGGTTTCAATCGACTTGCAGAAATAACAATAAAGAATTGGTAGGTGCCATGAGTGGGGCTCGATAGGCCAATCATCCATGATTATGATTACATTAAGTTTTAAACGATTGCATGGGAAGATAGCGTAGCGATCGGCAAAGCAGGCGGGTAGGGTACACCGAAGTGTCCGGCCTTGTCATAATGTATTGTACTGTGAAGCATTTCGAGTCGGGGGTCATCTCAAATGTTATATGTTTTTTTAACATCTTTAATCCTCGCAAAGACACGAGGGCCTGTGCGACGTGAAGGCTGTTTGAACTTTGTCTTGACAAACGTCTGGTCATAAATCGTGAACAAAACGTGAAGCACAACAATCACGGGTAGTCAAGTCACATGGACACTTTAGCGTTTGCACGGACTCGTGAAATGAAAGCATAGAGAAATTTCTTAAATGAAAACGCATCAAAATAGTAAGTTTAAGTAAGCGAGTATCCCTTGACTCACAAATCAGCAACGTGAGCATGCTATGGATTAGTCTGTCGTACAAACCCTGAAACAAATATATCCAAGGAAGCCCATGCATGTCCAGAATATGTCATAAGTCTAAATTATCACAGCTTCAGAAAATTAAGAAAGTCTCAGGGCTCCTTTTCATTATGTTTATTTTTTATTATTTTGAAATGGTTTTTTTTAGATAAAATCTGTTCATTTCAGACACAAGTTGAAAGTCAAGCCATGGGTAAACTTTCCCACGGTATAATTTCCGATCAACACTGTAAGCATTGTCTCCCTTGTATGGAAACAGGGTCGAAACAGGCATTTGAACATCAAATCGATATCACAATTACTAAATATAAACCTAACACAATGTGCTCAGTACTTGACTACAGAGGTTCAGTTTGAATCCTATGGTTACATGTTAGGCTGTATGCACCATGCATAATATCTCTATGTTGTAGGATCTAAAACTGTATATCGAGAGATGGCTGTGTGCGTGTGCGTGTGCGTGTGTGTGGATGAATAGATGGACGGATGCACATACAAATGACTGTCTTTTTTTAGCTGTATGTAATTTGCTATATGGAAACTAGTACAGTTATCATGGCTACCAGGCATTGTGCCAACAGCTACTGAGAATGCTTATTATCAACAGATCAAGATACGTGTACTATAGGGCGGTATTTATCCTACATTTCACGGACGTTCAGTTGGTAAGAGGTTTTAAAGTATAATCCCAATATACTCATCTCCTGACAACGAATGGCTTACAGACATAAATAGTATTTTTCTTTGAAAGCCTCGTCTTATAACGATCCCTCGTGATGTACTACTTCCCTGCAAACATGCTCCATATAGAATAATAGTGTCACGAATTGCTTTAGTTTGACATCATTCTGATTTAGTTATTTCTTTTTCTTCTGAATACTGAATGGCACAGGACCACAGTGTACAATAGTTATAAGTGACACGCGATTGGGAGAGATTATGTTGCAATACCATTCTTTTTATGACAACGGCGCTCTGTAGTAAAATATTAAGAAGTAGCAGCATACTTCCAATGAATGAAACTCTTGAATATTGTATGGAAACCCGAAGCTGGCTGGTTGCATTTAATTCTTCAGTTACCAAACATAAAACAAACACTAATGTGTTAAATACTTGAATTTGTCTCAAATTAGTTAAGTTTTGAATATTCCGATAGGACAGTAGCATGAGGAAGTGTCTGTACAGTGCAATGGGAATTAGGACAATAGCACGAGGAAGCAAAGACTGACTGACTGACTGAGTTTGGTTTTACACCGCTTTTAGCAATATTCAAGCAACATCACGGCGGGTAACACCAGAAATGGCTTCACACATTGTACCCATGTGGGGATTCGAACCCGGGTCTTCGGCGTGACGAGCCAACGCTTTAACCACTAGGCTACCCCACCGCCCCAGGAAGCAAAGAAGATGATCAGATGACGTTGCAAAACAGTTTGCTGTAGGATGAGAGCTCAGAGCGATGCAGCAGACCCTGGCCTTATAACACAGTGGTAAGACACACGAGCATATTGTCAGATATCAAGATCCTAACCTTGGTCACAGTCGTCGGGTATGTAAGGGTGTAACTTTGAACAAAGAGTTGAGTCGACTCACACGACCGTATATGGTGTTATGCGCATCACGTGACTTCGAAGTCTCCATACACATATAAAACAATCACTCTTACTCGATCACTCACTCACTTACTCAGTAATTCAGTTAGCCCAAAGTTATATCGAAAGGCGTCTTTCCAAACAGCACTATAACGCAAAGCGACGAGTCCTGCTCGTTAAATATCGTTCGTTTACGTAATCAGTCTTGCGTACCTTATAATCGGTATATCACGTGATGGGTTTGAAAGGGTTTCCGTTAGATCCTGTTTCAGAGGTTTCATGTACTGAACAGGCATGGGTGATTCTATGTGTGATATCGCTGTGCGAGAAACGGTCATAGAAGCTTTGACGAAACATTCAACCCTGTCCGAGTTAAAGGTAAGTTTATGATATCCACTGTGTTGTAAATCATAACCGACAGGTGGGTGAGGCCGTGAGTCTAAACCTTAATGTACACAGTGTCCATGGTGAGTAAACATCTCCCCGTCACTTTGACCAACCGTTTCGTTGAAAAGGGTCCTTTTATGTTAATTTTGACACAATTGTTTGTAATGACAATCCACATTTCTTAATATATGAGGCCACCAAAAATCCAATTTGGCCGGATGAGTGTAAATCTAGACTAAGTGCATTTCGTATGAACATTATCTATATACATATTTGAATTTATTTTGTCATTGTTAATAATGGTTTGTATTTTCTATGAGGGGCTCGTGACAGTTTGGCATTTTTAGCTTACCTGATTGAAGGTCAAGTGAGCTTATGTTTTGAGCTGTTTGTCCAGTTGCAGGTGAATGATCCTTTTGTTGTGCGTTGTGAAGATTAAGCTAATACGTTTGTATTGTGTCAGATACACACACGCACACACGCGCACACACTTGGTTTGTTAGAAAATTGTCTTGATACTGCTTCAATGATCAAGGCGATCTTTGGTATGTATTTTCACGTATCATATGATGACACCATATTGTGTCCAAACCATTAGGCTGTTATTGGTATTATTTTGTTACATATATGTAAGGGCGGTGGGGTAGCCTAGTGGTTAAAGCGTTCGCTCGTCACGTCCTGGTTCGATTCCCCACATGGGTACAATGTGTGAAGCCCATTTATGGTGTCCCCGGCCGTGATATTGATGGAATGTTGCTAAAACCGGCGCAAAACTAAACTCACTCACTCACCACTTTAATAATGAAAATATTACATTTTTTAGAACCAGCAAACATAGAAACCTGAACCTCTGAACCTTTTTGTACGTTTTTGATTATGACAACGAGAAGATACAAGGCTGTATGGCACTATGGTATATTTAACTCTAAAGAAGCAAACAATCTGGAAACAAATTGGTAAACATTCAGCATGAACGCTTATCTTTAATAAAACAGCATGTAGGTAAACTGTTGTTACTCTTTTATTTCTGTCAATTAGTTCTTGCTATTCTTTAAGTGTTTGAAAATCAATGTTCACACAATGTTAAGTGAGTGTCTCTGTTGGCATTCTAAATTGTTGGGTGGGGCGGTACGGTAGCCGAGTGGTTAAAGCGTTCACTCGTCATGCTGAAGACCCGGGTTCGAATCCCCACATGGGTACAATGTGTGAAGCCCATTTCTGGTGTCCCCTGTCGTGATATTGCTGGAACATTGCTAAAATCTGCTTAAAACTAAACTCACTCACTTTAAATTGTTGGGTACAGGTGAGCTACAATGTCGAGCTATTATTTTCCCAGAACCTTTTTGCTCCCCGTACTACACGGCATCATTGATACTAAGACAATCGACTGTCCGTATAAGGTATCACCGCTGTTTGCATTCAACCATCAATCTGTATTTGTTCAACAGATAAGACCTATATAATTTACCACTTCCTGATGTTTAAACAGTGGGTGGGTGACATTTCTCATCTGCACCTGAATGAGCTGGAGGGAGGAAGAGTGAACA